TATTTTTTTAATTTCATTTTCATTCAATTTTTTAATTTTTAAAATTTATTTTTTATTATTTTAATAAACTTGAAAAAATAAAATATTAATCTATTTTTTTATTTTTTTTCATAACATAATATTATAAAATATTTTTTAATTTATTTTTTATTATACCATCTAATATTAAAAAATAATTTACATTTTTAAAATTTATTTTTAACAAACAGGCCAATATTATAGTTTAGTCATGTATAACGAGCTACTCCTTTACTTCATTGTTAAGTAGAGGTATAGAATTCATGGCAGGAAAAAATTGAACAAGATTAAAAAGTAAATCTAAACAAATAAATAAAGAAAGATAAGCTGAAGCAACAGTCAACAGAGATGGCCAGCATGCACGAGTGATCTGCAGCAAAATACAGCAGAATCCGGGTAATTATAACAAAGAGATGAAACAAAAACCCAAACTAAACCAGATTTGGATACTGCAAATCACCAACCCGAAGACCAAGACAGCTAAAAACAAACTGGAGCATGAATCATCAGCAAATCTGTATAAGCTTGCAGAAGACATGAAGCTGAAAAGAACAAATGCAATCTGCACAGAGAACTTTATGGCATCCAACCATCACAGAACACAGAACCTTCAATGAACCGAAAAACATAGCACTGAGAGGAAAAATGGGTTGCAGCAGCAGACCAGACCATATGGCACATGAGACACTGAGATTAAATCATGTGAAAAAATGTTGCAAATGGAAGTATCATCACAGCACAGGAAACAAAACATCGAAGATCCATAAACATATCCATATCCATATCCAATAAACAAGCTCCCACGGGATCTGAATCACATTCTTCTTGAATCAAATATCAAAAGGCATCCAAATTAGCACTTCCAGAAAATAATGATATATAAAACTTTTTAAATCCAAGTGATGAAACAAGATGGGGGCTGAATGATAGCAGCTCTAGCACCTCTAACAGCACATAGGGGTTGGAAGCAGCTATAAAGACCTCATGAAGCATAAGAATTAGATTGAGAAACCACAGTACTAGTATACTAAGCAGTCTTTGACAGCAGAGACACCAAGAATCGCCAGGACCACGAAGTAAAGAGATACCCACAAAACATAATGCCGAAGTAAAACAATCAAAAGAAAGATAAGCTGAAGCAACAGTCAACAGAGATGGCCAGCATGCACGGGTGTAAGTGAATGCTAGCTGTTGGGTAGCTTGATTACAGTGCAAATCAATATTAGCAGCAAATTGCAAACATTAGCTTGTGATACATTATAAATAGAGAGAGATTAAAATAACCATTTTATTAGCTTCAAACATATGTACACAAGCATGCACCTGAACTATAAATAAAAAACACCATAGCCAGCAAGCTAGAAAGGGCATCACAAACAACACAGTTGCTACCACACCAAGTCGCATCTGAAAAGCTCCAGTTGATCAAATTGTGATTTAGTTGGTGTTTGACTTGTTTCTTGATTCTAAACAAAATTTACATGCTTGGATGAGCCTACACATAGCAAATAAGCAGTCAATAAAAGAAAAAAGATTCAAAAATTCCTATGCTAGTTTATGAAAAGGCTGGTTTGTCAACAAGTAAAACTTACCCAGAAGCTGATTTTGTAAGAATTTTGATCTACCCTTCCTCATCCTCAGAGTGAGACACATTACTTGTAGTAGTATCTGACTCTACGTCCTTTGAGGTCAACTTTAACTCCATCATTTGTGCAGGTGCACCTATAATTGAAGAAAAACAAAAGTGTAATCAGCCATGTAGCACATAAACAGAAATTAATGTTCTTCAGAAACTTGTAAGGTAGCATTCAGTCAATTTAACACAAAAAAAGGACTCAATTTTTCAATACACCCATAACCAAATTATCCACAACCGATTGATCAGTCAGTAATTTTGAAGGGGGAAAAACCCGCATTACAAAATCTTATATACAAAAATAGGCAATCAGATGGTTAAAAAAAGAAACAAACAGGCAAAGAAAGTACCTTTAACAAAGTAATCAGAGGAGGGCCATCCTCTAACAGTAGTGGTGGAAAGGGACTCCTCATCGGACAAAGGATTAGCCAATTTCTCAACAAGATGAGCAATCCCAAGAGAGCCAGATGTAGATCTAGGAGATGGGACCCAGTAAGAAGATCCGGGCAAGAAAGGTAGCCAGTCAGGTGCAGCACGCCGCACAATGATCCGATGGATTGCATCTTCTAGCTTTCTAAGCAAGGGGTCGGTTGATGAAGAGGCAGAAGAGGAATCATCAGTTTCTGATGGGCTGTTGCTGTGAGGAATGTTTGATTGTGCTCTCAGGGCAAGCAAACGAGAAGAAAACCTCGTTGATGATGTTAAGCAATATGTCTTTGTTAGAGAAACAGAAAGAGAGCAAGCCATCGAAGGATGTTTTCGATGATACAAGGACACGGAGATTACTAAGGAAAGGTTTTAGTTTTGGATATTTGAAAGAAGAGAGGGAGAGGGTGAAGGACCTAGAGATATATAGAGAGGTGGAGATGCTTGGTCGGTATTTTCTCTGATAGTGACATGTTATTGTTCATTTTGATCCTTTATTTTAATAGCTGTGTCGCCTGTATCCTTCTGGCTTAAACTTTTCATGGCCCTTTTTGAGGCGGTTTCTTGAATGTTCCAATGTTGCTCTCGACTGACTATTGAATATGTTTTTCAGATTTTTAATTTTTTTGTGGGATATTAATATATATATATATATATGGAATTGAGAAGAAAAAATCAGATAAAATAATAAAAAATGAAATAAATATTTGAACGGGAAAATGTTTATTTTTTAGTTATGGTGATAAAGGGTAAAATCAAAACTTTATTTAACAATAGGGATAGTATTGAAGCATATGAAACTAGGGGGTGAAAGTGAAATAAGGGCTGAAATGTAGCTGTCCCCATACCGAGTTTCGGTTATCCTAAAAGCTTTTGGTGTATTTATTGTTCATACACTAATAAGATTCCCGGTCTCTTACTTATTAAAGAATTACAGATTCGCCCGTTTTCTTTGTCATAATTGATGGACTGGATGTTATTATTATAAAAATTAAAAAAATAGACTGGTTATAATTAACGTTTTTAATATGACCATTAATCAGAAATCAGACTGTGATTTCTTATGACAAATAACAACAATTGCGACACCCATCACCACTATTAATTAATTAATTAGATTTATAAAATAATTCTTTTGAAAGAGATAGTGTATCTTTGAGATTAAAATGATAATAGTTTATTGTCTTCGATATTCACTCCTAAGGATAAAAACTTTTTCAGGATTTTAGCCATGTTACCCACACTTGGATTCGTGTTTTTTTAAAAAAATTAAGATTAATTATTGATGGTAGGTGCAAATTGAGGCATGTGTGCGGAGGATCACCACAAATTTATTTATTAATTGGTCATAGTTAGCTAGCTAGCACCTTGTAATATCTTCCACGCTAGGACAAGGTGATAACACTGTAATCGCAGCAGGTGCATTCTACAATTTGAAGGCGGCTTTTGCTCCTTATTCCTCTGGAAAACAAAGAAATCAGAGGTACATCTTGGAGCAGCTTGATCTTGATTGCTACGATGTTAACAATTCTTTTCTTTGTTGATACAAACATTAAATAGGTAATTAGAATATTCGTTTGCAAGAATCAAGCAAAGAGAGATTAAAATCCTCAATACTCTTCTTTTTCTTTTTCTTTTTTTTTGAGAGTTTGGTGGCTTCTAAAAGGGGCGGTTTAATGTTTTTTTTAGTGTTTTTTTAGTCAAATAAAAAAAAAGGGAGAGAGTGAAAGAGGGAGAGATTACAAACCTTGTCTGTGATCTTTAAAAAAAGCACTCTTCGCCACAGCTTTTTTCATTTTCTTACAACCTCTTCACCCCCCTCTAAAACCATGATCCCAGCCAAAATCACCAACGAACTATATGTATAATATCTATTAAAATACATACATACATACATACATATGTATGTATGTATGTGTGTGTGTGTGTGTGTGTGTGCGCGCGTGTGCACATACATACATACATACATACATACGTATGTGTGTGTATATGTATATATGTATGTATGTGTATGTGTGTGTGCAAATCTTACATGCGTTGTTCCAGTGAATTTCTGGTAATTATAGATGGTCAGAGGAAATCCGTTGTGATAATTTAAGGGTCTAATTAACTTGCCCTGGATTTGGGGGATCCAGGAAGTGGGGTTTTCTTTTGATAGGCCCATCAAAACAACTAGCCTTCGTGGGCTCTAATTAGTGGGCTTGAAGTTCGACTAGCCCACCAACAAATGGATAGAAACTTCTTGCTGTTCCTCCCCCGGAAATTCGATGCTTCTTTACGGATAACATTACATTAATTGGTTATAATCTAAAAGGAGGAGGAGGTTTTACTCTTCACCAAACTCTATTAATTGAAGTAGTGTTTTATTTTATTTTATTTATTTTTTAATATTATATTTTTTTATTTTTTTATTATTATATTTTCATGGCATAAATTGTTAGTAACAAGTTTATCTAATTGATTTAAACTTTTTTATTCATTAACTTTTTTTATTTTTTAATATTAGATTAATTAAAAATTATAATTCAGATTTTTTTTTGTTTTACCATATATGTTATTCTAGCTTCATATCTCGGGAATGATGTTTAATAAATTAACCCAGATTAATTCATGCTATTTTTTATATCTTTTTTTTAATTGATTTTTTTTAATTTTATCACTTGACACTGAATTAGTTAAGAATTAAGCTTGTTTTTTATTTCATAATCGTGATCACGGATTTTTGTTTATTTAACCTTAGTTTAACCATGTTATTTTTTATTATATTTCTAAGAGATTTTCCCGATCTAATCACTAAGATCACAGTCCTTTAATATTAAATTCATGTTTTATTGGATTGTTATTATCTTATGATTCGAGTCATAAGTCTAGATGGTTAATCTAATTATTTAAGTTTGTTTTAATTTATTTTTTATTAGGCTGTTTCATCATTAACACTGTATTAATTGAGAATTAAGTGTTATAATTTATCTTGAGTTGTTTTTCATAGGATTATTATAGTCTTGCAACCCAAATTGCTGACTTAATATGTAACCTGAGTTAATAAAAATCAATCTAATATGTAATTATCTTAATACTAGAAAAGATATTATTTTATTTTTTTAATTATACTATATTTTTATGAGTTATATAATATGTAAAATTAACCAAATTATACTAAATCAACCATATTATGATTCCTTTTTTCAAGTCTTCACTCAGAAATAAACATTAGCAACATGTTAAGTTTACTTTTACATTTCTTAAAAATCTAACATTACGTATATAAAAGCATAGAAGGATCAATTATCTAATTTAAACATTTACGTTGACCCGTCTGGATTCATCATGGTCAATTTTATGGCACATCTGCGTTGTTCTTGTCTGTAACAAGGTGTCCTGGGTCCACCACTCAATGCTATTCCTACTCTAGCATTGTTTTTCAACATAAAAATCATGGTCTTTCCTCGTAACATCACAACAACAACAACAACAATAATGTAAAAGAGAAAAAGAGTAACAGTAATCGAGTTTTTTCAATCACAAAACACATTTTTTCTCCCTGTTACTACTCCTGATTCAATAATATATATATATATATATATATATATATATATATATATCAATCCATGTTTGAAACACTAAGTAAATATTCAAGAGTGTCGTTATTTATGTTTTTTTGATATATTTTAAAAGTATATTTTTATTAAAAAATATTAAAAATAAATAAAAATTAATATATCTTGAAAATACATTATATATATCGTTATATCAAACACGCGCTTTCAAGAAAAGAAAAATAGAGTCAACAAGGGAGACAAAGAGTGAGAGAAGGTGAGAGGTATGTCTTCAGCAGCTGCTGTTGCTAACAATTAATAATAAAAGATTATTTTTTACACTCAATTTCTCCCTCTTAATTCGGTGGGTTTTTCCTCTTTTTTGCAGTTAGAGACAACCCATCTGTTGTTGTTACTCCTTCAAGAGGAAGAAAGAGAGATCAAGCAGAGATTTTCAGAGAGATGGTGACTTCTACTGAGATGGGATCTTACAATCAGTGTTGCTTGGACAGCCACTGCTACTATCTGCACTGTTAACTACAGCAACTGTTTTCCCATTGAAATGCTCCAAATCTTCATTGTCCTCCCTCGAGTAGTTATCACAAACGCCAATGTCATATTTGCCCATTCTCTCATTTAACTTCTTACTACTGTCACTGAATTTCTCTTACTGTTTTTTCTAAGTTTGATGTTTTGCCTTATAAAGTTTAGATCTCTTGCATTTTTTCTTGTTGGCTTATTAAAAAATATGGAAATGGGTATTTTTTGTTTTCTTTATCTTGGATGTGGGTTTTTTATTTTTAATAGAATGTTACTATTATATTTGTAATGTTTGTAGCATACTGGCAATCTGTTTGCATAAAAGTGGAGAGCTTTAGATTTGGTTCATGGTAAGATTAACAGTTTAGAGCATTTTGATGATGAATCAAGATTCGATTGTTATCTAATATAGCGAATATGGTTGAAGTTATTCTCTCTTTCATGTTTTTTATCAGCCAACATGCAAATGGATTTTCAAGTGCTGACTTTCCATCTTTTCTCTGACCGATGTAATCAATGAATTTTTGCTCAGAAGTTATGAATCTCTACACTGTGGACTGATCTATGTAAATGTTATGAATTGTTTGGAATTAAAAATAGAGCATTATATTTTATTCCCTGGATTTATGTTTTGAAGTATTAAATTCATGCAATGTCGGTTGATGCAGGGAAATGTTTTGAATTGTTTGGAATTAAAAATAGATGACATGTTTAATTCCCAAGCTGCTTTTTCTTGATATCATCATGGCTTGTAGTCGTATGGGAAAACAAAGAATAAAAGTTTTGAATTGTTAATTTTAATGAGTGCCCTAGTGATTATGATGAAAAGGAAGAAGAGTAATTGATGAGGTACACATCAAACTGTAAAAACTGTAAAGGAGAGTGTTACGTTTTAAGTTTATTTGTTGCAATCTCTTATAAAAGTTGTTGATGAACTTGACAGTAGCGTGTTTGTTGGAGAATGATATGGAATTGACAATCTTAGCTGTTAATGAGGAACCTTTCAATTTACAAATAGCAAAAAAGTAGTATTTGGATGCCTCTTGGAGAATTATATAAAATTCATAAATTTTATTATTCATCTTTATTTACTACAACATTGCAATGGAAATGCACTTGGGAGTAAATTCATAGCAAACATAAATGTGTGAGGTTTATAAATTTTTTTTTGTTATTTTCTTTACTTTTTTATCAGACAAGTACTTCAATTAAATCATTCCTTTTGTTGAAAAGAAGGCTTTCAGTTTATGATTGCTTATAATGATTAATTCTAATGGTTGATAAATGAGTAATCACTTCAATTTTATTTTTCCTGTTTTTTTTTTTTAAT